TGCACTACAAAATATTAGAGGTCAATATAATGAACAAATGAAAAATATAACATGTACGGACGGTACACTGCTGTTGTTACCTTCTTTTCATCAATTAAACATAACCAAACTAATCATAACTACAATTGATATAATAATAGTAATATCCATTTTCATAGTTATTTTGTATAAAGTAGTTATGATATACTTTATATATATATATACTATATAATAATTAATACTAATAGTAATAACAATATATATAGTTTATCAAAATATAATAACATTTTTAATGTATGAATAATTTTATTGTGAATTAGTCTATTTTTGAATCATACATAAGGAACAGAAGAATGAGAAAAATAAAACAGAGAGAAGACATATATAATAAATGTAATATATTGAACGCATTAGAATTATCAAGTAATATTTCGAGGAATAGGAAATATAATTTACTATATAATTCTGAGTAACTTTATGGATAATTATATGGTTTGAAAATATATTTTGTTTAGAAAAAAGATACAATTTTTAAGAGAATATCATTCATTATACTTTGGCTAATAACATAATATAAAGGTAAAATATTCCTTATAATATAATCCAATAAAATTAAATTATAATTTGATAAATTAATAAGATTTTCATATAATATACACTAATAGAATTAAAAAATAATTTTAAAAAAACGTAAGTAATGAAAAAAAGTCTATTAATATATATATATATACATTTCTCAGTCTAATTTAATATGACACATTTTTCATGGATAACGTGATACTAAGACATAAAATAATACATTATATATATAATATATGAGTAATGCATATGTTAATGTATTAACATATATATAAAATAACAAATTTTTATTATAGATTCACTTTAATTCTTAAAATAGATTTCTATGTGTTTCATACTGCTTCATAACATAATTACATTAAAAATTGTATTTTAAAATAATAAATAAGGAATAATATAATTCAAATTATAATAATTTGAATTATACCAAAATTATTCCTTAATACGTTCGGATTAATTGTATGCACTTTCCTTATTATTACCACTGAAATAAAGTTATTTATATGTTTATTAACATATATATAAAAACTGATTATTTAATGTCGTTATATGTGAATTTTTTGTGCATTTAATTATTCTGTTTATTTTAATATATATATTGTGTTTTTTTGTTGTTATTCATTTAATGATAAAATTATATATTGAAGGAACATTCTAATTATAATATAGGAATATTAAATTTTGCATTAATATTTTAATTGACAATACATCTATTAAATATATCTTACCTTAATTCTATTGTTTCAAAGTATAATGAACACAAGTTAGCACTATTTTCTAAGGAATATTTATCTCTTATATATATTAAAAACATTATGCTATCTTTATTATAGAATGACATTTTATTGCTATAAAATAATATGGAAAATATTATATAATAGAATGTATAACATAATGAATTAGTTTAAGATATATTAATGTATTAGAAATATTTCTTAATCAATATTAATAATTTTTTACAATAATTATTAGATTGCAACAAATATAAAAATAAATACAGTATTTATTATGAAAAGTTTGAATAAGCATAGAGAAGGTTATTATATAATGTTGTTAATTAAATATCAGGTATTAGATATAGTAAATCATGAAATTAAAATAAATTATAATTTTTTTTTACAGAAATGACAAATTTACTCTTATTTAATTTCAAAAATTATTCCAAAATGTCTCTAAAATATATTCCCATATTTTTCCTTTAACACTTGAAAAAAAATATTGTATATAAGTAAATTTTTAAGTACCAGAAAATGAATCAAGAAAGGACAAATAATATTTTGTTCTATATGCTACAACGGTAGAACACTTATAAAATTATTTATAATAAATTCAACAGTAAATAGTTATTCATATGAGTTTCTTAGTTTAATTATTATAAAGCATACATTTTTTCATTTATAGATCTCTTCTTTTTTAATTTTCCTCTTATTTTGCCGAATGATAAAGTATTTGCTATCTGTTTAAATGTAGAGATGATAAATGAATGAAATAAAAATATAATGTTTGATATTTTATTTTATGTATTTAATAATAAATAAATACATTATTATGTGTTAATTTATGTAATTATTTTAATTAAGGGAATGATATTATTACTATAATCATCGTATAAAACTCATAGGTTTAATATAGGTATTATAGTTAAAAACTTATTAGTTTTATTTTTATATTAATTAATCTATGAAAAAAGCTGAACTACTCTAAGAATAATGTTCGTTATGTATTTATATATAATCAATTTTATTTTCTCTTGTATGTCACTCTATAGTTTCTTTACTTAAAAGAAAATATATAATGGAGTAATATGTATCATGTTTTCATTAATAACATCATTTTAAGAAATT